AATGTTCGTCATTGAAAAGCTGATCTAGGTCACAGATGATATCATTGTAATTGCTCTCGCAAATTTTGAGTATCCCACCTGCTGTATTTACGCGGTTACAACGCAGGCATGATTTTAATGCGGGGTGACTCCACGATGTGTCCAGGAAGAAAAAAAAATGTCATTTTCGTATATGTTGCAACTATCTCGAAAAAAAAACTCGTGTTGCATTTGAGTAAACACGGTAATACGAGAGAGCTGTAATGGTCATGTTTTCATTATTATCAAAGTCGTTCGACAAAACCTTGCCAGTGATGTCATGTTCGTTTTTGCTTCGTCTAACTTAAGGATCGCTAAAGAATCTCGCACTTTTCTTTCTGTATGCCTCTGCAAGAAACTCGCCTATTCGGCCTCGACGACTTCATTTTGCGGATATTACAGCGCTGCTCATCTCGCAGACGCTCCATTTCGAGATACAATTGTCAGCACTTGTCCAGTCCTGTTCGCCCACGCATTTATGTAATCTTGCCGGTGGATAACATTGTGCATGAATATTTAGGGCGTAGTGGGCACTTCGTAACTGTTCTTAAAGGGCCTTGCAACACTTTTTGAGCATGGTCAAAAAACGCTGCCAATCGGTTGTGGAGGCTCCCGAGAACACGCGAGCCAAATATAGCACAGCACGTGGCCTGAAATTCACAATATGTTATCAAATTTAGCTGGAAATTGCTCTCTCTTCTCTCGAAGAATGACGAATCTGAGGAAACTCGACAATCAGTTGTAGAAGGCCTTCTTTCAGCCATTGGCTGATTTGAGCATGGTGCCCATGGTTGTTACAAAGATCGCCGTGGGAGACCGTGACTTGTCCACGCGTGTGCGAGCGATCATCTTGAAAAAGCCGCGTATTCAAAGAAAAAAAAAGGAAACGTACTCAAAGTCACGAGGTGCGCGTGACGTATTTTCTTTTTCCATGCCATCCCTCCCTTTTTAGCTTTCAGCGCTTTCGTCGGAACGAGTGAAGAGAGAAAGCGATTGCAGCCTGGGACAAGTCATACAAGTCAGTGTAACTCCGCTGGTACTAGACGGATTATTAAGAAGACCGACAACTGCCCAGAACATGAAATGAGATGACTTCACGGATGGGAACATTGTCCCTCATAGTGACTAAAACCAACCCTATTTTTCTCGTGAGAAGTGGAGTTATATATGTATTTTTTCATTGAAAATCGCAAAAATAGGCTGTGACGCCACTTGGGGGCAGAACCTTCAATTTTCCTAGCTGTGCTGTCACGTGACCGTAAACTAGTTTACGCAGTCAACATTTTTTCTGTTAGTATTGAGAAATCGCTTGCTTTTTTATAGTAAAAGATATTACTACACAAAAATTTACCTATTGGCCTGCATTAGTAGTACGCAATGAAGTCGCGCTGCCTTCGCATGACGTAATGATCCCGTGCTCGTCAACGCGTCCTGAGCAACTTTTCTACGTGCTCATGAAACCGTGCACGCAGTTTTCAGGTCGCTAAAATTTCGGAGTAACGTGTTTTTTTTTTTGTTTTTTTCCTACACTTAGCCTCAGAAATAATGCGGAGTGACGTTTTTAGTGACTTGACTTGGCTCGTGTGTCGAGAGAGTAAGGACGACGTGACAAGCCATCCACGACACAGGCGCATCAACTTTGGGTGCAGGTGCACGCAACGCGGTTCAAATACAGCGAAGCTGTATGAAGCCACATGGTCTCATTGTAACGGATTAATGTTATCATTAATAGTTGTAAAGCTCAGAATAAACGTGGTTAAGCATAGTAAGAGGAACTCCTGCGAAAGCAGAACAATTATAACATGGAGAAGTCGCTAGGTGGGCTACTGGCATCGCTATCAATTCTCAGCGTTGCTGGAGAAAAACGTATGTCAGTGTTCAGAGCCTTTCAGATTGAAAAATACTGCTTATAAAATAACTACGTGCTTTTGGGAGTAACTAGTGCAGCTTCGAACACTGCGAAGGGTAAGCTTTTGGTCGCGCCGAAAAAAAAACTGGGTAAAAAAAAAACAGTTGTGGGTCCCTGTGGCGGCGTTGAATTCGTGATGCAATAAGACCAACTTTGGTATAGAAAAAAAAAACAGTACGTTTAAACTAAATGTTTTCACAAACAACGCCCAAACTACATTCCAGGAAGTTTATTTGAAAGGCAGCCACGTGACCAAACAATTTTTTGTCTCCTAAATATTGTAGTAGTTCACTGTTTTAATACAGTATATCAGCACGATTTTTGTTTGAATACATTTGAGATGGTTGCCGAAATGGCTGGGATGTTAGGCGTGGAATGGCCCTACATTAAGTACGTTGCTCAGGCGGAGCAATTGCCAGGCTAACCGGCCTGTGACAACACCACCACCACCGAGTAGTTGTGCGCATAGACGTGCGTCGGGTTCCCCATCAAGGGTTCACCAGAGCGCCACCCGCCCCACTAAGACAACGTATTGGAGAGATTCTGTGCTCCCCCCTGTAAGTGAATACGTGGGCACCCCTACCTGTGTCTTGCCTCCACAGCCCACGCCTGTGGTTTGAGTGTTCAAACATACGTCGGAGAAAATTGAAGTAAACATTCACTCACGTTGAGCGAAGTTGAGAGTAATGTTATTCGTGCGCTGGTGAAATTGCCTTCAACCCAATGGAGTAGCTGCCCTCGAGACAATGTTAAAAATTAGCTATGTGCCCTCGTTCGTAGTTGCACATATTTGCGCTGTAAAAAACAATGGTTTTGAAACCTTCCCTTCTTATTTGAGCGAAACTTTTTATTTACACTTTAAAATAATTCGTAAGAATTAGAAAATTTATGTTCTCCCTTCTTGGGTACTTGTTTTATGGTGAGTGTTCGCTTGTTTTCTCTGAAGCATATGGCAACACTGTGCTGAGGTGAAGTTGAATCGTCCCTTATTTCTTCACATGCACCGGGTGCCTTTAAAATTTACCATGAAGCTTATTCAAGTTATTTTGTGTTCGTTAAAGACCACAATAGCGCATTTTTACCATGGTGTAGACGAAAATGCGTCGCACTCAATTCGAAATGTATAATGAATTGGCACAGCTCTGCTTGATCCGCACTTCTCTTAATGGATCGAGGCCTTTGATCTTAGCAAAGAACGAACACAAGCAAGAGCGAAGTTTACGCGCCCAGAGGCTTCGGTGCTTTGATCTTTGGTCCATAAAGGTTGCTTTCAGTTATTCACGCTACTTAGACATTCAAGCAATCGTCGTGGCGTTCGTAGCTGTGCAAACAGAGGCTCAATGCTGTGGTTTAAGGAAACAGCGCTCTTCGTGTGATTACCGTCCTAGCTCCTCGGTATTGAAGGCTTGCTTTTCGCTTTATACTGGCGTCTCTTGAGTCGCTCAATGTGGGCTCTTACTGTCGGCCACTCGAGTTGGTCCGTTTATAACCGCACAATAAACTTTTAAGTTAGTTTATAAAAAAAATGCTGCTCATGTTTTCATTGTTTTATTCTGTGTCATATATATATATATATATATATATATATATATATATATATATATATATATATATATATATATATATAAGGAAAGAAGTGTATACCACAGGGCTCGTTTTTCCGTGTTTTTACACAATAATAATGAGACCTAACAGACAATAATGCCAAGGAAAGTATAGGAGAAGATATTAGACCAAATTGTAATGTAAATATGAAGAAAAGTGGGTAAAAAGATAACTTGCCGTGGGCGTTATTTCAAGGTCGCAGCTTCGGATCCTGCCCACGGCAAGTTATCTTTTCACCCACTTTTCTTCATATTTACGTTACAATTTGGTCTAATATCTTCCCCTATACTTTCCTTGGCATTATTGTCTGTTAGATATCATATATATATATATATATATATATATATATATTATTGGAAACAGTCCTGTACTTCTGATGGGATTAAGTTGTGACCACTGTCAATTGGTTGTGCTGCAAAATGTTTTGAAATGGCAATGTATCAACGCATCAGTTTATACAAACAAAAAAAACATCTCATCTTTCCAAAATTGTTTCTTCCTCAACACGGATCTGGTTAATCGAACCTTGTGCAACTTCCTCGGATAAAATTAGCCTCACCTATTCAATCGTGATCATAGAAAGCATATGCTTTGACATAAACAAAACTTTCATGAAAGTTTCGCAAGAATCACTTCGGATTAAAAGGAAAAGATGCAAACTTTGCCCTGTGTACTTCATAATGCTTGAAATCTACGCTGAAAGCCTCGACAATATTGTCACATATTCCGTACCTGACGAATTCGTATCAACCCGCGCGTGCCTCAAGGCTCCAATGAAGGGGCAAGTCAGGCGTGTCGATACGCCTATGTAGAAACTGAGGTGCAGATTCAAAATTATTCTTGGATAATGAGAACCTATAAAACGTCTTTTGCAAGGTGGTATTGCCAATAAATAGAAATGGTGCCCGATTAATAGGGTAAATAATTCAATATCTTAATTTTAACGGCCTCAAACCATGATATGATTATGAGAGACGCTGTATTGAAGGGCTCTGGAAATTTCTGGAAATAGTTCTTTAACGGAGGTTCTTTAACAAGCACCTAAATATAGGTACACGGACCTCAAATACTTTCGCCTCCATCGAAAATACAGCCGCCGCCGTCGCCTGCTTTTGATCCCGCGACGTGCTGGTTAGCACTTGATTACCATAACCACTGGATCACCGCGGCGGGGCGATGAGCAGGACTAAATTGGACATTAGAAAACTAGGAAAGGTAATGCAGTTGTGTTTAGTCGTAGTTGTCTTGGTGTGAAAACATTTTCTGTTGCCTATATACGAGACCTGCCCTTCATTGTCCACTCAAACATTGACTTCAGGTACCTTCACTTATTTAGTTCATTGTAAACCAGTCAATTTGGTCGCTTATTTTTACTGTGCGAGGCCGCTTGTCGATCTCAGTTGGTGTTTGTAAGCGTAAGACGTGGTGGCGCTGAATAGGAACTGATCATACTTATATTTTTGTGCAGGTTTCGGTTTCGTGACATTCGAGAATGAAGACGTTGTTGACAAAGTTTGCGAGATCCACTTTCACGAAATAAACAACAAAATGGTAAGTGTTTTGCTTGTGTTTTTTTTTGTCACAGTGCTGCAAAGTAAAACGCTGCATTACAGTGAAACGCCTCGATCACATTCGATTGTGATCGATTTTGCTTGTGTTTTTTTTTTGTGACAGTGCTGCAAAGTAAAACGCTGCATTACAGTGAAACGCCTCGATCACATTCGATTTATTCAAAAGGCGCATTCCTGACTTTCGAGATACACTGGAAATTACCTTTTCTGTACAGCGTATGGCTGTTTTCGTTGCCACACGTGCTTTTTGACGATAATAGCGGCTCACGCAGGATCTCTGATGCTGCATTCAAAGAGCTCTCTAAATCGTACCTTCACTTGTGAAAAAGGGGGGAGACCAAAAACAGGCTGTTGTGAAAATCACGCCATCACTTAATTTTCATTTTTTGAATATGCAGTGCTTGTTTTCTTTCGCACTCGACCGACCAACCGGTGTGTGTTCACGTGAGGGTAGGGTCATGATACTTGCCCCTCCGCCCCTCATGGTAGAACTTACGCCCGCCTATGCCTAATACTGGTGCTTGCTATCATGTCGCATAAAACTGCAAAGATCACCTTGGCATGCGTGGGAAACTTCAGAGCTGGCCTTGCGGTGGCGCACTCAAAGAGGCCCTGCGACACAAATTAGGCGCGTCGTTTTCATCGCTTCTTCTGGAACCGTGGATAGCGCCGAAGTCATCTCCTGGACTTTTGAAGTTTAAGACCTATAACAATCACACCTGTGCACATTTTTTTTTACAATTCTTTCTGCGTCTCTCTCAGTATTAAACACCAAACAAACTTAAGTGCTGCAAAAGGCAGACTAAAAAAAATGGCAGCATATCCACGGAGTGAATGATGGAGAGTGGGGCGAAGAATTCGTCCGTCCATTCGTTCTTTCTTCCGTCCGTCCATGCGTCCGTCAGTGTGACCGTGCATGCGTCCATCAGCCCGTCCGTGCGTGCGTCTGTTCGTGCGTCCGTCCCTGCGTTCGTCGATGCAGCCGCCCCTGCGTCCGTTCATGCGTACATCCATGCATCTGTCTATGTGTCCGTTCGTCCATCTATTCAACACTCCAAGTACCACCATCTCGCATCTTTTCATCATATATTCCCCATATAGAAGCACCGCCATCCAGCGGACATTCCAAGGACTAAACGAGAGGTGGCACACGCACACTTTCTTACGGCTTGCGCTTCGGGTCCACTTCCCACCTTTAACCACCTCGAGTTCATGGTATATACTAGTTCACTGTATTCATGGCACTGCGGCTCAACGCTCGCTAAACCTTTCTAAAGCTAAGGAGGTTAAACCCAGCGAATATAACCTAGCAACCCTTTCTTGTCAGATAGTGCTCAATGTACATGCCAATGGCTGCTAATGGTGATCGCAGCCTGCGCGTTAACTAAAAGCCGAATGCTCCTGTCTCTCATTCCCCATTAGCAGCCATTGACATGTACATTGAGCACTATTTTTTATTGTTCAACAACGCACAGAAGAAGTCTCTCACCGGCACCACCTTGGAGGTCAAAATGTTATACTTCTTACATACTACGGGGGACGAACGGGTGCCGCTATAAGGAGCTTCGCCCCTAAAAACTTTGCCAGCCCTTTTATGTCGGTCAACGGCAGTGGTGCATGAAATTCCACACTTCCGGGGCTGCGCAGGCTTGTAATGCCTGTCCGCAATTTCTCGTATTGCTGGAACACTATGTAACGTATCGCAATATTACCAAGTTTTTCGTCAAAATAAATATTATATAAAAACTCGGAGTTTTTATGAAATTTTGTAACCAAAAGGTTTTTTTTTTCCAACTGACTCAAGTTGGATTTTTCATTTTTTCTTAGCTGCTCTTTGTCGCTTTTTTAGAGGCCGGGGCACGCGGAATTGCCATAATGAAAGCCTCCGAGATCAAGGAGCATTCGGCGACTATTCCGCTAGGGGAAGAGCGCGTGCGGTATGGCCCTGTAAAAGAAGCCGCTCCTGTTAAGAGAAACTTGTGCGCCGCTGTCCTAGCTTTACTTGGACGATTCTGCGTGCCGTGCCCCTACGCTGCACGACATACTCGGCACGTCATAGTGTTTTTACGTACCCGATGGCGCTGACGCTTGATTTAGTCATATCGTGGTGTATGCGACAGGTGGCAGTTACCGTCCCGTAACTTTCCTGTTTGGCCTGATCGCACAATCGCTGCTTTTTAGATGCGGAGCATCTTATACTCGCGCCTTGTAGTGCGCCGTCCGCGCCGTCCACACCGCTTCTCGAACATTCGACAGCTGACGCGCGCGCATGCGCCGTCGCGCCGTCGCCCACTCTTCCACCATCTGTGCATCCCTTCCTCCTCTACACACCGCGCGCGCTTCACTCCTCCACCATCTGTGCACCCTTCCTCCTCTACACACCGCGTTCGACATTTGCAATTCTCCTGATTCTCCAGTGGACGCGCATGTGGCGTCGCGCTTCGAGAACATTCAACAGCTGACAGTGCATGCGCCGTCGTGCTGTATATATACTCAAGGTCGGCGCTCGCTCGCTCAGTTGCCGCTCGTCGGTTGGTTTGTACGGCGCGTCGACGTCCAAGGTCGCGGTGAAATGAATTCCAACGAATCCACAAACACAATGATCGACGTCCCTTCGACCAGCGCCGCCCTTTCGCATACGTGTGTACGTGTTCACTCATTTAACACCCCCTCCTACCACCACGTTAACCAATTTAGCCATCGACCCAAGTAAGTCGCAATTTAACACCCCATTTCACAACCACGTTAACCAATTTAGCCATCGACCCAAGTAAGTCGCACTTTAACACCCCGTTAACCAATTATATGGTCCGCATCCTCCTCAGTGTTCCCCCGAGGGAAGCTGCGGGCAATTTTTTTTCTCCGCGTCTTTGCATATCAGTAGCGTTTTATAGCTTCACGTGATCATAGCCTATATCGTCTTCCTACATTCAAGCGAAATGGCGGATGGAATTTCATATCAGTCTGCCTTCGGGCCGACATCCTGTGATTTTCACACGTGCAGGAGTGGGTCGGCAATCGGTGCAATGCTGCATGATATATTTTGCGTGTGACTACGTTTATATGATTGTTATTTGGGGTTTAATGTCCAACTACGTTAAATTATACATTTCGGATGACCAAGAAATTACATTTTTTAGTTTAAAACTTCCTGATCTGACGATATAACTCTCATTGATTGATATATGGAGTTTAACGTCTTAAAACCATTATATAATTATGAGAGACGTCGTAATAGAGGGCTCCGGAAATTTCGACCACCTTGGGTTCTTCAACGTGCACCCAAATCTGAGCACTCGGGCCTACAGCATTTTCACCACCGTCGAAAATGCAGCCACCGCAGCCAGGATTCAATACCGCGACCTGCGGGTCAGCAGCCGAGTACCTTAGCCATAGATCACCATGGCGGGGCGGCGCTATAATTCATGTTAACGCCGTAAATGTAGCAAAAGAGACAGGTGGTGTTTTAATCATCGCCTATCTTGAGATAGACAAGATTACTTACGTTTTTTGGCCTACACTGGAGAAGACAGTGACGTCCCCAGTAACACATTCGAAGGCCATTTGTTGTCTGACAGGTTGTCGACATAGTCATGAATCCGCAAGAATTCTCTACTTCCTGGACGGCTGTGTGCATTTCCGTGAAACGTCGCAGTTTTTTAGTTATTGGCGCAGAAAGCACGAGTTTCTGATATTTATGTAGTAAACAAAAATAACCTCATGGCGAAAGCCGGCTTACCCGAAGTACCCGAGTTCGATTCTGGCCGCAGCGATCTCAGTGGATTCGAAATGCCCATGGGGCCAGAGTTTTTAGCTCTGAGCGCACTTAATAGAAGCCCAGGTGGTCGATATTTTCCGAGCGTGCACTCCCGCACAGCGTGCCTCATAGATATGGTGGTCTTGGCACGCAAAAATGCCATAAATCATCATACTGAGCAACGTCGTTTAGCGTACATTTTCAGCTTTGCGACGACTTGAGTGCGTTAGTATAACCGTGAAAGTTGTGATTTATAAATCGAACCTGTTTTTCCGGCATCTTTAGGCGTTCATGCGGGCGTTGTCTGAAGACGGGCTAAGAGTTGTATAAACGTAGAACAGCCTAACAGAGGTACGAGCAGTGCTGTGTTCTGCCGTGCTTTTCGGCATTCGCAGTCTTGCTGCGCTGTTTATACATTCATTATGTCAGGCTAACATGCCCAAGTTTTCATTCTTGCAGAACTTTTTTTTTTTCATTTTTCAACCTGTATTACCGCAGAAGACGCAGCCGCTGGTTGCCGTATAATCATCAAAAGTGAACGCAAAGTTTGCCAGAAATTACATTGAAGTATACTCTTTGTCTGCACGAGCCAGACACCGGCTCTAAGTTGAAGACACTGCCTAAATGGCAGGCTTTAAAAGAAGGCTGATTAATATTTGAAAAGAAGTTTGGTGCCAGCTGTAACACTGTTAAGAGGAAACCTGAGTGCGAGACCAGCTACATAGAGGTACACCACGTACATGCCTCCGCACCCCGTAGGAAATAAAGAAAAAAAAAAGACGGCAAAGTGCGACCGCTCGGAGCGGGGTCTCGTTCGACCTGCGCGAATGAAGCGGGGCAATCGAGTGAGGTGCGCAAATAGAGCTTCTCTGTGCTCGTCATGGTGCGCCGCCGTCGAGAGAACACCGCGAAAGCCAACGGAATTGTAATGTTGACTTTGCTGTCGTCATGCACCCTCTTCTGCTGATGAGCCGTAAGAAACAACGTGGAGATAAGGAAAACGAGCTCTTTGCCAAGCGTGCATCATCAGGTACGCTGGCCGTAAAATCGCTTTATTGATCTTCGCGCGCGAGCTGGCAGTGGGAGGCAGGGTGGTATCGAAACATTCGCGACTAAATGTAGCGCAAGAAGAAGGGACTTGAAATAAGAGCACCGGAAAAGTCGAAAGTAATACGGCCGAAGAGACTCTTTTGCATGTTGTCTGCGAAAGAGTGACTGCAAATGGGCTCCACATTTATTCTTTCGAAATAAAAGCAAAAGTGATAGGGGACTCACTCCGTGAAATGTGGTCCCCTTTTAACACCGGTCTGTTTTTTACGCATTGTCTGTGTTAACAAGTACGCTTCGCTGTTCAGTTTTTTTTATGTTCCTCGTGCGACGACGATTATCACTTCTAGGTGCCTTGACAACCTATGGGAATCACGTTTCTAAGCCTCTATTCTAAGTTTCTAAGTTCACTATTTCCAACTTCACTATTTCATTGACCGTCGGTTTCCGTCATAACGTAAGCGCAAACAAGTAGAAGGCAAAAGGAAGACGCGACATGACTCACCGACGACTGAATCTATGGACACTTGCTTTCGCACTTCCTTCGTTTCTTTTCCTTTTAGGCAGCTGTGATCAGATGCATACGTGTGAACACATAAAAAAAAACATGACATGAAAACTCTTTTACGAAAGGAGCTGTTTACGTTTTTCTCAGTTTTCGTTGTGTTGATGATTATGAGTGCTAATCAGTGGTACCAACAAGAGGGGACATAAGAGCGGACACAAAGCGCTCAACTTTCTGGGATCTCGATATGGCGAGAGCGACGCCACGCTCTTGGAGTGAAAGGACACAGTAGACACGGTCGGAACAAACCAAACAACAATACATTCATTTAACTACTTTGGGTCGACAATATCGTCAGCCGAATTATTATACATCAATTGTAATTAACGCGCTAGGACATCCTTACACATTACTAAACAACGTTCAACTACTTGACAAACGCAAGGCGGCGTCGCCAACGCCTGATTCACCACAGTGGCCCCCGGCAGACGGCCCGCGGTGCCGTGCACCGGGGACACACCGCCAGAGACAACCGTTCACTCCAAACGCCACCAGAGAAAGAGATTCGCTCAATTATTTTGTGCCGCCACTAAGGCTTGCCGCCAGGGGTCACCGCCGGTGCTCATACCGATCTAACCATGATGATGACAGTAGTGATCAACGCCCGCGAACACAACGCCACCTACCGCTTAATAGTTGCGACCCCAAAACACGGCTATTTCGCGAGACACGTGCGTCACGTGGTGCAAACAGCTTTACAGTTTTAGTGGCCTATATCGCGTAAGCGCACTTCAAGTACCCCGCCTTAAAGCGGCCCGTTTCCCGTCGTCGTTGCCGTGCGCAACGTTGCCCGGCTTTACTGCGCCGCCGCCGACACTAGCAGCAGCAGGCGATTTTTTTTTTCTTCTATAAGTCAAACAGAAATGGTCACGCCGCTCTTTATAAGGTCCCGTGATGCACGGAATGTTCTCTTTTTAATGCAGCTAGTTTGATTACTAGTTATTAATTATGGTTGGGCGCTCTGGCGTCATCGAGATCATTTTCAAACTATCTAAATCGTGGGGCTCGTCGTATGGTACATTAACCCCCGTATTCTAGAACGTCCCTTCACGCAACGCTTCACCTTCACTTGAGAAAACCGATGGAAGCGCTCTCTCTTGGCACGGCAAGTCACTGCTTATCACGATAATGTAGTGTTGTTCCCGAGCAGCGCAGCGTCAATTTCAGCCGAGCAGCGGCGCAGGGCTCAACTCTGTCAAGTGAAGGTTGAAAGTCGAGTCGAGGATCGTTTGTGAATACGGGGATTAGCCTAATTTATCGGTAAGTAGGGTTGATAACATTGCTGTTTTAGACTTTTTCATAAATTGAGCTTTCACTATAGCATAAATTGTTATTCGCCTTTAGTGTCCCATAAAGAACACGTAGGGGATGTGTGCATACTATAGCAAGCTCGGAAAGATTTCACGCGCATAGTTGGTCGTGGTTTAAAACATTTTTCATTACACGCAGTGCAGCCACATGCGAAAGTTTCACGGGCACAAGTCACTTTCACCTTTACCGATTACATTATCGATTACCGATTACTAAGCGGTTTAAGTGCGCACTATAGGGACACGATATGGCTAACGCGTTCAACTCTTAAAGGCGAAGCTTAAGGGTCTCCCATTTTTTGTTCATACTCCTGTGAAGCTGCCTTGTGCATGAGGTGGTGAGGTTCCCCTCAAGCTGCTCAGTGCAGCCTTTTCTTTCTTTCTTTCTTTCTTTCTTTCTTTCTTTCTTTCTTTCTTTCTTTCTTTCTTTCTTTCTTTTGCCGGGTCATCTTCGCATTCCTAATTCTAGCAAATAATCTCAATTCAAAAAAAGACGACGTGATCCTCCGATGACCAGATTACTCGATGGCCGACGGCTCTCGCCGCTATCATGGCTGTACAGCGTGAATTGCTTATTCTTCGACCTTTCATTTTTCGGACACAATATTGTTCATTACGTCCGAGTGTTAATGCAGTCTTCTTCGCTGTCACAACTACGACGTGATGTCATGAATGAGAAGAGGATTGGCCGGCAATTAAATAAAAAAAAGACAGTTTGCAGATATGTAATAATTTCATAAGCATTTATTCAAGGGACATCGGATGTTTTATTCCTTCTTAGCGGTTTTCGGTGTCTTTGTCATTTCCCCCTGCAGGTGGAATGCAAAAAGGCGCAGCCCAAAGAAGTCATGATGCCGAACAATGTTACACGGGGAAGAGGTGCCGGTGAGTCACTATGTCTTTGTTTTCTTGGATATTATTAGTCTGACAGAATGTTAAGCTGAGCCTACTTAGTGTGTGCTTTTACGGAATGAGCTTTCGCATTCAAACTACATATTCGTAATATTCATACAGCGCTTCATTTTTATGCTCATGATGGTTCTACTGTGTGATGTATCTTTCTAATCTTACAAAAAGGCGTCCGGGCTCCTGAGCTTGTACGTGTGCGAAGTAACAAAACGTATTTGTTTTCTTTCATAATAACCACCCTTCCTGCGTCAGTGCATGTCGTTCTGTAGCAGAATGCAAAAAAAAAATATTAAAGGGTTGGACACTGCACATTGTGGCTGTTGGTGAAGAGTACATGTATGCTAGTCGGTGACTTTTAAAGTAAACGATCGTAAACATTGAAACTCGGTGCACACAATGTGAAGCACAGCCTCCGCTCTCGTCTTCTTCTCTCAGTGGGCGGCCGCACCGTGCTCGTATGCGCCAACGCAGCGCCTGGACACGAGTGACGTGGCGAAACACCTGCAAAGAGTGTTGCGCCCGACTTCGTTACCACCCGCGTTTGACCGATGGACTACGTCATTTGACAGTCACATTGTGACACTGCGTAATTTAGGAGTTTGACGCGTCGCGCGATGACGTCATTCTGTGACGCCATCGGAAAATGTCGCGTTGCTTTTTTGCCCGTGAATGGACGCCGCAACATCGAGCAGGTGTGCTATGTACAACTCCGATGTAAAGTAATCATCGCCTCAACTGCCGCTGCAGCAAAAAGTAGCATTCCATCTGACGAACCGAGACGCGATATTCGCATGCGAGGTGTATTTTTTCAATCAATTTATAGATACAACTAAATATAAATAACAAATTTAAAAGATGCCGAATCACTTCGATGAGAATTACGTCTGCGTAGTTTTTTGGACCAGAACTTGTGCTGTGTCGCGAGCCTCGTTGTTCGAATGCTTTTAAATCGAACGGCCCGGTATATAGCTGGCGACTGTCTTGCGAAAAGAGGAAGACCAGAAAAACGGCAGGAGACCGACTCGGCCAGAGTTTTTATTTTTCTGAACACAGCTGCTTTGCGAAGCACCGCGAGCGAGTTCTCTTGGGCACTGCCTATAAAAAAAAGGAAAAGAAAAGAATAGAAGCTGTATTTTCGAGAGAGACTCGCCCAGAATACAAATGCTCGCAAGCAAAAAAAAAAAGAAAGCAATTGACTTCATCTAGTCAGAGGTTTCAGACAAAAAGGAGAGCGGGAGGGCTGTAAATAACGCCGGGATTAAAAGTATCATCCGAGAGAAACGCCGTTCCCCCTGGACCCGGCCCAACGGTGGGCACACAGAAAAAGCGCGGCACCGAGAAAGCTGAACATGACAGCGGAGACATTAATAATGATCCCCCTGAAAGAGGCGGCTTCGCTTCTCCCGGGAAAATCGGGAGAGGCGCGATAAAGCGGCCGGCACAAAAGAAAGTGTGTAACCCTAATGGATCCATTTTTCCCCCGCTCTCCCGCTTGCCTCTGTTCGAGGAGATGACGGAGCGAGGCATCAATAAGCTCCGGCGGCCATATTGGAAACGCTCCTTGCGATTATTGTCGCCGTCTCGTTAGCGCCACCAAATAATCACGTTAACCTTGGATATTGTCAACCACGGACCGAGCGATGCGTTTTACCCTGCTTCCGAGAATTCCGAGAATGGGCGAAATTTCACCGGCGAAAAAGCATTTGCACAAAGCGGGAGAGAACTCGCTGTCAAATTTAGCTAATAAGAGAGCAAACCTTAGATAAAGCTAAACCGACGTTGGCTCGTCTGTCTGCTACAACCTTATTGTGTCGCTACAAAGCATAACTGCCAGCAAGAAATGAACAAGGTATAAACGCAAGCAGACGATTTAATTTCGTTCCATTTTCACTCATGGCTGGCGCAATTTGTCCTGAGGAGTTCACAACAACGTGTCCTATCTTCCCGTGCAGGGCAGCAACGAGGGGGATGTTGAGGGGGTTCTGACATCCCCCTCCTCCCAAGTTCGTTCATGCTTTAACATTTCGGGTGATACTGAAGTGTTTATGTACCTTCACATTGACCAACAGTTGCCAATGTTGAACAGCCCCCGAAAAACAATTCTGTTCTCCTGTCTCTGCTTTTAGAATCATTATTCGTAGAAACAGAAATCGCCCAGAAACCAAGTATACGCCTTACTTTCTGAACGCATTTGTACTTTGTTTACAATCTGTATCATTCTTGTGTTATTTTTCTCGTTGTTTTCATTGCCAGGTGACTTGGGGGTTGAGCCGGTGAACACGTGACCCTCTCCCAACTTACCACCCTCTCGAATAGGGCAAAAAAAAAATGTCAGCTTGGGGCATCAGAAGTTATTGCTGAGAATGTGCCAGTCATATATATAAGAGCTGAACAACTTTAGCGGAACGAAAACTGAGCAGGATTGCCAAAACGTTGTTTGTTTAGACTTTGGTGTGTGAAATTCCTAGAGTAATTTCACTTGAAATTTAGCGCATGCCTCTTCTCATGTCCTTGTGTTTTTATTAATAACTTATTTCAAAAGATTTAAGTATGCGTGAGTCGATACAAATGCACTGCTCGATTAAAAAGAGGACAAATGAAGGATTCTTTTATTTTCGTGCTATTAATATCTGAAAACTTCCTGGGTGCTTTCTTCTATTTCAGAACTGGTGTGGCCCTTGGGTGCCCTTACTGACGGTAAGCTAGCCAAGTATAATGTGTCATTAGTCTTTTGAAAAGGTCGCAGAACTGCTTTTTTGGGGGACACGAGGTAACCCTTACATGAGCACTTTTTCTGGACTTCTTGCAACAACACAAAGCAGGACGAATGAACATAATTGCTTTAAATTCAATACAAAATTGTTGCAAAGCCTCGTATAGAAAAAAAAAACGCACCCTATGCATTCAAGGTGGATGGTCAACGTAGAAAAGGTGCGTTTCCAGTGAAGCGTTCAAAATTTGGGGAGCTCTTTGCTGTTCCGAAATTCAGGAAAATCTCAAACTCGCGCATCACCGCCCCTCACCTTTGCAGCTGTTTTTACACGGAATTCGCACCTGTAATACAAACACGCATGTTTTAGTTTATCAAGTTTTAAAAATTTTGCATTTTCTACAGAAACAAGGCTTTAACCATACACACTGACTAGTGCAACTATAATTGTTTCCACATCAATAACATATGAATTCCGTTGTAGTTTTATGTAAATAATTTTTAAATATTTTGGTAGGGCAGCTTTTCAGGATTCTTACAGTCGCACCAACATAATTCTCATCGGTTTCTAACTGACTTTTGCGTGACGACTGTGTTCTTATCATCAAAACAGATTCCAGACATCTGTTGAATCGTTTTCTTTCTTTCCTCGTGCATTCATCGTCACGCTTAGAAGCAGGACAGGGCCACAGTGTTGAAAAACGTCTCATGATCCCAGCAACATCTGCGAAAAAAGCCCGAACGTTGAGCCATAATGACAGTGGCAGATTTCTGCTTGACACGGCGTTTTGTCTTTGCAATGGAGAAACCTAATGGAAGCATGCTTGTATGTTATACTCTCAGACGTGTCAAGTACCACGTGGCCTCGACTACTTTCATTGATAATTCTCCAAGGACACTGCGATGACTGCTGACTTGTCGTCGTACTGCAATAATTTCACGAACACCGTCTAAGTGAAGCGCCTGGCAACTACTACCGAACTCGTGAACCCTCAGTGGCATCATGGCTCACTAGCTTCTCTCATTTAGGACACTCGGCAGAAGTTTGCCGATGTTCGAATGTACAGGCAACAGAGCACTACAACGTAAAACTATTCGATTATGGTTCTGACCTCGTTAAATCAAACCTACGCAACTGCTCTCCTCGTTTGGGGGAGAGAAAGATAACTGGTGTTCTGTCTAACAAAGACATGAGGGAGTCACAAGGTTGAAGCAAAATAGAACAAAACATGCCACATAGCCTTGTGCGACATCTCTGGCAGTCTGTAATCACCCGTGCAAGTCTTGAAGAAATTGAATTCGTGGCCTTCTTCCGCGGTGACGCTTCAGTATTCGTCATTACAGAATGGTCGGTGCAGGGTGAGCCAGAGCGAGTCTCAGCACATTGTAGCGAGCACAGGCTTCTCGCTACTACCCTCGCCAGTACTTACAATGGCATATGGGAATGAGCTGGCAGAATCCTAGCATTAACCTGCAAAGCAGAGTGGCCTCTATCCGAAGGTAGCGGGACAAACTGTGCAGGTGGTGTTGCTGATTGGTTTGACATCTTGTGAGCTCAGTGTCAAATCTATCAATCGAAGTTGCCTAGTGGCTTCATGCCCTCATAAGAGTGTGATCATTACGGCTCTTTGAGCAGCTTTGTTTAAAAGCTGTAACAATGCCCGTCACTACACTATATGAGTTAGGGCTCGTTTTTTCGAACTCACCGGCTCACGACAGTGGTGCAGAACAGTTGGGCCAAGGACCGATCACCAGTGGACCCGATGTCTTCGATTGCTCTCGTTGCTTTCGTTGAGTGGACTCGCTGGGCAATGCGCCTAATGGATAAAAATGATAATAATAGCCAGAGTCACGTCAAAGAGAAAGATATATAATAAAATCGGGGAAAGGCAGGGTGGTTAACCGAAATTGGGGCATCCGGTTTGCTACCCTGCACTAAGGGAAACGCGAATGGGGAAGAAAGATGAAAAAGAAAGTGAAGAGCAAAATAGACGCGCGAAAAAAAAAAGAAAGAGAGCGGGAGTCTATAGCCTATTCAATAGGCCACTACCAAGCAAAAATTTCAATAAGGTCTTCACTGATTTTCAGTGCGAAGACAGATAACGTCGGCTTTCGAGCACTGACTGATCCGAAAAGGGTCTGTCGTCAAGGCGGGCTAACGCAGCAGCTGTCTTTGCACGCTATAGTGAGGGCAGTGACAGAACGAGCTCTATCGTTCCATCGCTGCTGCAACGATTGCAAGCAGCACAATCTTCCATGCCGGTTCGGAGAGAGAAATCTTTGGTGAAAGCGACACCAAGCCACAGTCGGCAAAGCACCGTTGTCTCAATACGAGAGAATGCAGACGAAGGCCGAAACCATGTCGAAAGTGCGCGACATTGTTACGCTGGCAAAGAAAATCCTTCTAGCAACGTGTGCAGCCACGAGAGAGATCAGCTTGCATCCACTTTCGATTTCTGCTGGAACTGAGCGTGGGGTACGGCCTCGTGCCATGAGAATGCACGTACGTTACTGGCTCCTGTAAATGTTGACAACGCAAACAGGCCGACGACCACTTGTGGACTATACATATCGTTATGCAAGACACATTGGGGGCGTCTCCGATTCATCGGCCCTTGACAACGTGACGAGTCACTGGAACTGTGAGCTAGACTCTGACCAGGCCTGATGAGCCGTTATATCTACACGACGCATGCTTGTCTGAATCATGCGTGCTTGCTTAAGCGGCAAAAAAAAAAAATTCAAATTTTCCATCGCAGCATACTAGAACCTCGAAATGAGCTTTAGGCAACGCCACCTCTTTCGCGAATCTCAGTCGTTTCTTCTTGTTTTTTACTGGTGAAGCTGAGAGTTGCAGGATAGAAGACGTTTAGCCGTGGGAAATGGCCTTAGCGGTGGATTAGATGGGCTCTTTTTCGTGCCCTGCTAGCGAACAAGATAACGTTGACCCGCTGAAATGATTGGCTGGTGGTTGGGTGGCGATATCTGTGCGCTCTAATTGGATAGCCTCCGTCTCAAATCTGGAGAACACACGTTCTGCCCAAGTTCATCTCCTCCTCACCAGTGCTACCCGAACAAGAATGCAATGTCACGTTTTGCAGGGCCCCAAATCGGGTGAGCACGGAGTAACTGCATGGCCCTCTAGCACGACTTCTAGAAACCGTAGGAACGGCAGTGGTTCTATAGTTAAGCAACTAGTGCGTGCTTGCAGTAATAGGTCACCCAGTGAGAAGACGTCCGTTGTGCGCGCATTGAATTTGTGAATTTCTCTCTCCAAGCTGCTCGTGTGCATGATAGCGTAGTTGTGTCGCATTCGTCACGGCTATTTCTGCCCCTGTTATCAAGACATTATCAGTGGTTATCTGCACGAGATTGTGATTACGTGACTGTATCTGCCTTGAGCTTCCTTCAGACAAACTACGCCAGTGTAATGATCAACGCTGTCCTTGCAGCGAGCGTACTGTTCTTGGGAAGCTCGACGCAGCCCTGAATGAGTTGCCACCGGCATGCCCCCCTCGCGTAGCGTATCGTTTTTGTAACCACACCTTTGTAATCAAGTGCAGCTGCAAACCAAATGGTGTGCTGTAGAGTTGTATAGGCTTGGGGAAACAGTTGCATCGGTATGGTAGTCCTTAGCGGCTGCAAGAAACCCGAGGCACGTTTTGCAATCTTACATGAGGCGAATTGTCGGGCGTTCAAAACAAAACTTAATTTATCTCGTAAGAAACGCTACTTGTCTACAATGATAGCAATAAACATATGCTTATGTCCAGAGTTCTGGGCGAAAGTTATCACGTCCGTCTCGTTCACGATGCGCAGAGTGATGTTTCCTGCTATGTCACCTCTTTGTAACCCTGACATCACTGCCATCGTCGTCACCAATCTCAGCTTGTGTTAGCCTAATGCAGGATGAAGGCCTCCCCCAGGGATATCCAGTTTACCCCATAATGTGCCAGCTAATCCCTGCAAAATACTTAAATTAGTCACACGATCTAACTTCCTACCTTTTTCAGTCCCATCCATTCGTAACCAGCCTGTTGCTATTGCTGCCCATCGGTTGTCTACTCTGTGCATTACGTAGCCAGGTTGGTTCTTTCGGTTGGTGTCACCTGGTAGATCTATCTGCCTGCGTGATGGGTCGGGTATTGTTCCCTGACCCATTATGACGTCCTCCAATCTCTTATTGTTACTCTGAGTTTTTTACTTTTCATGGCAGGCTGTGTAGTTCTCAACTTTTGTTCTAGTTGCTTTGTTAACCGCCACTTTTCCGCCACAACTGGCAGTATGCAGTGATGATATACATTTTTAATTTACCAGCATTGGCAGATTTGCTGACATTATTCAGGAATACCTTCCGAATCGCGCTCTAGCCCATTCTTATTCAAGGTGAATTTCTTTTTCGTTATTTAGCTCTCCTGTTAGCAGTTGTCCTAAGTGTAGATGTTCTTGTATACACTACAGTATATGGTGTTCGATCGTGTACTCTCTCTATCGCTAGGCAATATATTTAACATTATATTTGTCTTCATCGTGTTCACCTGTAGGCCTACTTTAACACTTGCTTGGTTTAATTCCTTATTCTTTTTTTTTTTTTTGCAATTGGATGCTATCGATACGGTAGAGCACTGTGTTCCACAAATGAAAGGTTGCTGACACATTCTTTGTTATGTTTGATTGTTGCTTCTTCTAGTCTAGCTGTTTAAATGCGTCATCTGAGCAGGCAAGGGACAACTTTGACAATATTGTACATGCTTGTCTGACTCCTTCTCAACGTCGTTTCGGCGAATTTTCGGAGAGAAGTAAAGCAGTCGTGGGGTCTTTTTAGATGTAGGCTCAGACATTGGCATAAGTTTTAGGTACTGCTTGTACTTGGTGCTTTTGAAACGGTGGGAGTCTTTGCTTAGTCGAGTGGTTTTGCGAAGTCTGTGAAGACTAATTAAAAAGTGCCCTACATTTCATTGCTGCTCAAATAAATATGATCCGTCGAAGAGAAGGCCTTTCTGAAACCGTCTCATTATCTATGCTGGTTCAAGTCAGGTTTCTCTCATATAGTTTTTTTAGTTTATCGTTGTAAATAATTTCTGTGTCATCAAAAGTAAGCTGATGAGCCTGTAAGTCTTTCGTGTCTCCTTTTTGTGTAATAACGCAATGCCGGCATTTCTCCAGTTTACTGGAACTGTTGTTGGTAATGAGCGCTGTGTGTCGTGTGTTTCTCGGCCTGGGCTGTCGCAGAGGTTGCTGGAGGTTGCCTGGAATAGGGACCATTCCCGTTTTCATTGAATTTGTATAATAGAATGTTTTCATCATCGGGTGAATAGTGAGTGAATGTATGAGGGTTTGTGGAACTACAAAGTTGCGCTAACTTTCTTACAATAGGTTGTTTTGACGCACCGGGTCAAGTGTATACAAGCTTCTTTCAAATAAGTGCTCCTCAGTCTTTAATCAGATCGTCTGTCATTCTGTCAGCAACAGTGCGCTTTCGCGTCGCATATAGTGTCTTTCTAGCCTCATAGGTAGTTATATGTTGAACTACCGTATTTTTTGCTTGTCGTTACTTCCGCTCGAGGGGGAATGACTTATTTTCGAACGACATAGTTAAGCATACAATTTTTCTGCGTGTCCTTTAGAGCGTGCGTGGTGACTTATAGCACTGGTCTGTAGATAATTTGGCTGGCCCTTAATAAATAACGCCGAAATTATCGTAATCCACAACTCCGCATGAGAGAATACGCTTGCCTATGTTATTGCATCGCATGTCTTCGGTTTCTTGCAGCAAGCTTAGATTGCTGTTAGTCCCCCGTTGTTCATGTCGTGCTGTGTGTCGCCTGCAAAAAGGAAGAACAGGATCTCTTCTGCAGCCGTTGTTAGAGAATAGCTAGCGTTTGCCTCGTTTGTGCTATCACGGTGCTCTCATCTGGGACGAGGCTGCCTTGTAATACGCACGCCAGATTACTTTCTGGCACTTCAAAGGTGGGTACACATATAGATGAGCGTTTTTCTCTCAGCTAAATATTTCCCGACCATTTCTTTGAGTAGCAATTGTGTATATCTTGCGTCTTAGAGCCGTCTGTAGAATTTAAGCAGTATGAAAAAGCTTTCGTGTTCTGCAAAAGCGTCGCCATTAAATTAATAAAGCGTAATTGAGTACGAATCTCTGCATGAGGTAAATGGAATAAAAGTGTGCTTGTTTCTTTAATTTCGCCAGAAATTCCGCCTCTATCGCTTCTTGGACGGCGTTTCGTTGAGCTAACTGTGTGTTTTAAGAAAGTGTCCACTTTTTATTGGAGTATAGTGCACCCTGTCGGAAGAGCGCGCCAATCTGCTGTTTTACCAAGCAGCGGAGAACCCTTCATAATCTGGTTTTCTCTTTACACGCTCCGGTGGGAATGGCAGCTGGCTTCCCAGCCTACGGGTACGGCCGTGGAGGCTACCCCGGCTATCCTGGATTTGGCTACCCCTTCGCAGGTATGAACCTTAACATGCAACATCTCTGCCTGCCCTGCCCGCCCTTGGATCCCTTGAACCTCTACAACCTGCATTCCATGCAGCTCATTTAGAGCCTCGAATGGTGTCTCGATGTGGTCGCGTCGTTGCATTTCAATCTGGCACTGGATTTTGCGGACAATATTCTGAGCTTTTGTGACGTCAGGCAATGCCACGAAGCTCGCCCTCAAGCAATGTGCGGCGGTGCCCGCAGTGACTAACCGGAGGTTAGCTATGCACACGTCCAAATGCATGTCTGAAACGCTCCTGTTTGCTTTCATCCACTAACACTTGAAATAGGTGAAGCTTTTTCCCCCATTCGGCTTTAGTGTTCCCCGGATTTTTCGCCGTACGAATTTTGTTCCTGGAAAGTAATATTAGTGGAACACCGTACTTGCGGTGAGCGCGAGCTTTGAAAGACCTTGGTGACGTGTGTGTGTGTGACGTGCGTGCCCCAAGTGCTGCCTGCTTCTGGTCTTCGTCTGCTCGACCCGGCCACCCTTCTTCCCTGCTATAACAAGCGGTGTGTTGCGCAAACGGTGGCCACCCTGTAACTGCTCGTCCCCCGGAAGCCACCCCGACTGACTGACACACGGACGACGTGGGACGACAACCGCCTTGTGTCGCGCAAAAAGGCTGTGAGCTGATTTTTGTTTCGGGAGCCTTAAAATGTTACACCACGTCTCACAAAAGCCATTGCTAGTGTAAACGTTACAGGGGCCACTCAACAGCCCGCCGGTCACCGAGGCACTGGCCTCGGTGACCGAGGCCAGTGCCGAGGCCAGTGCAAATTCTGTACTAATTGGCGGTCTTCCGTATTATCTCTTTGGCCGACGTAAAGTTTGGCTGTCACAAAACCTACCTAAATGATTTGTCGGGCAATGCTTTTCGTCGCCGTTTTGACCGGCTGCCTTCACATGTTCGCCAAATTGTGGCTCAGCCGTTTTCACCAAGGCGTTTACGAATGGGAGCCAATGTACGGAGGGGGTACAAACTTGTGTAGAAACTTCCTTTGGATCGCTACGTGATGTCCGTAGATGCAGCCAGAGGATCTTCATAGCCTACTCTGGAGGTCCGCCATGATGGATCAGTGGCAAGCTGCTCGGCTGCTGATGCGAAAGTGGCGGCTTCAATCCGGCCGCGACTCTCGCATTTCGGTCGAGGCCCTGTGCGATGTCAATTCACGTTAAAGAACACCAGGTGGTCAAAATTTCCGGAGCCTTCCTCTAAGGCCTCTTGTAATCATCTGACATTGCGACGTAAAGTCCCAGATATTTTATCAATAGCCTGCACTGAAAGGAATTTTCGCAACATATTTGCATCAAATGGCGTTCTTTTAATGGACTAAATCTTTTCCGGTCGAAATTATTCTCCACGCAAGCAACTGGTGTTTACGTTTCAAGATGGGCATGATCATAACAAAAGCGAAAATTGTGGATATTTGCTCACACTTTTTTATGAAGAACTAATGTCCAAATCCTATTAATAAAAACTTTTTCATTCTATTTCTGCAATTTTCACTTAGTTTATTCTTTAAAATATTTAAATAAGATAGCATAACATTCAACAGTTAAAATGTATGTTTTTGATGTAAAACTAAAATGAATACCGTCTCTCTGCACGCTGCAAAAAGCTGCCTCGGAGAAGATACGAGAACTGCTTCTGCAATTCCTTCGTTCGCACGTAAATTCTCTTTGTTTTGTGTACCAGGTTGGTATATTATGAAGAGCATAAGTTAGAAATGACTGCTTGAAGAAGCGCAATGCTTTAAAATGAACAGGTGCTTGCTGTCTGATCTACAAAATTCCGGATTGATCAATGGGCCGGAAATGGTCAAAGCTTATTGAGACGACATTTTTCTGATACATAAATATGGCAGTGTTGTAGCGGTGTTTATTGTGGTAGTCTACTGTAGCTTACTGCTCTTGAACGCTTTGAAGTATACTATAGCGAGATACAGCCGCATCAGTGAGCCGTAAGCTCTAAAGCCCTCTAAATAGTAATTACGTTCTCGATGCTGTTCGCTTGTTTGGAACGAGACACAGCTGGGTGTAAAAGAAAACTAACTGCCGGTTTCACCCTGGTATGTCGTAGAACAGCCTGCCGTATTGCCCAAGAGGTGTTACGTCTGTGCTGGCTCTCCGCATGACCGCTGGAAGGTTTAATTGACCAAACAAAAGTCAACCCATCGACTGCAGCAAACGTGGATGAAAAAAATTCCGGAATGCTTCTTTACTGTTTAAAATGTTTGCGTCAGTTCGACGGGATGATGACAAGGTACTTTCGTTGCTTCATCAGGACCATGGCAGCTGTGAGATAAGACGAGATATGATGGCTGGTGAATGTTCGCCATACAAACACTCGATTTGTCAGTGCATCCCATGTATACATTCAAGCTCGTGTTGACTCCCCCGGGGCAAAGCGTTGTTGTTGGTCCGCCGAATGGTCAATGTCCTAGCACAGCACGTTTGCGAGGGTCTTTTTTTTTTTTTTTGAACATTCCGCTAGGCTCACTTGAAAGTACAAAATGCTGCGCACGGAGGCCAGCCGCTGTTTGCTCTTCTCTGTGGTTCAGTGCCCAGCGTCAAAAATATGCGCAATGGTTTCTGGGTGCATACATCACATCCGGCTGTTTTGGTGCCGTCTGTCGCGTTGTCTAATCGTTGTGCTTTTGAGCACCGCCCTTCCTTAGCATCCACTGACAGGCACTAGCTGATGAGAATAACATATGTGTGTAGACCAGGACAGTGCCCATTAGTGAACCTTCCAGTGTCAGGGGTTTATACTAGTGAGACGCGGGCGCTTTCAAAAAGACCATCCAGTCGATGGTTTTCTAAATACCACAACTTTGTCTACTCGTGGAGTTGCACGGCTGCGTTACGGAAGTGAGTCACGCATTTCTCGTGAAATTTGTTTGGCGCCGCGTATTTTAGTTTTGATCCCACTAAAAGTTAACGTGAATTACCTTAAAAGCGCGTATATATCTGTTATTGTTGATCAAACATTTTAATGAATTGTTTATCTGTTTATATACACATATACGTTAATTTTTTCAGTTGTTGAGCAGCGAAACTGCGGCTACGTTATCGAATATACAGTAATGAACAGCGCATATGAAAAAAAAAAAAACACGAGAGACTGAAGGAAATGAACTGCTCTGGGAGAATGTTGACTTTCAACACAAGCATTTATTGCGCAAAACCACGCTTAAATAGCAACGCCGCATACCCAAGCAAATGAGTCTTTTTGACAAAAAAAAAAAACAAGTTACGAGAACAGCGAAGCGACAAATACTCTGCAAGCTCGGGTAATTGAGCTCTTTGTGAAATAAGGCAATCGACGCCAGAGCGAAGCGTGTGTCGGACAGTGTGGCCAGCCTTTGCAACTTCCCGCTACTTCCCCCAACTTGACGTTTTCGCTGCTCTATGTGGCTGCCACATAAATGGACAACACAAGCACGCGACGCGGTTGCGGCGAGTATATCTAAATCGCATATTTGAAATGGCGAGATTTTTTTATTAAATCAGCGATGAAACTCGCATGTATTATTTTTGGAGCATACACAGTTTAATTAGATTTTTTTTTTTTGTGAACACCAGCACACTGTGGGCACGTCGCGCTTGGAAGTGCGGATCACTTTCGTGGTCCCTCGGCGTAACGCAGGCAAAATCGCGAATAGCCGTGCATGAAGCCAGGGAGGAGTCGATAGCGCGAGAACAGAACGACGACGAATGGACGAGAAGGATACGTCGTTCTGTTCTCGCGCTATCGTCATGTCTTACCAACTAACCCAAACCGCAACACAGGGAGGAGGCTTCATTCTGTTTCGATCTTAAGTTTGGGGTGCTTTGAAAGCACGTTGAAAGGAGAGGAAGCGAAATGAGAAGGGAGAGAGGAAAGAGCAAGAAAGATGAAGAGCGAGGGAAAAAGAAAAGAAATAATGGGTGAGAAGAAAAGACGGGGAAAAGAATAAAGAAAGACACAAAGGAGTGGACAAAGAAGGCTGAACAGCTCCGTACTTACTTGTGGCTCGGCACCACCAGCGCAGAACTGCCTTATAATCCGTCAGCAGGGCTTCTATAGAGCTGCAGGGTGCTCCGTTGGCTCGATAGACTACCGAATCGGCGGCTTCAGAAAGCGCTCTGTGGCTCGAGTATCTAAAGAGTATGGCGTTGCACGAGAAGGCCACTGGTGACTGAGAGCTCGCGTTTATTGAGCGAATCGTAACTGCCCCTGTAGGCTTGTGGTTTCTGAAAGGGCCGTTTTTGGTACCAGTTTTGTCAAACAAGTGTCCCGTAAGATAATCATATCAGTTAAATTGCTGCTCATCATCACAAAAAAAATCAACTGCTTTTTTCACACGCCGGAAAACAACTGTCGCAAAAGAGGGCGTCGCTCTTGACGCACAGACAAAAATGTATATTCTAGTCGCAAGGAGACGAGTACGCACCAATTCATGTGACTGCAATGTGATGAATTTCTGTTTTTCAAAGATCTCGGGCACGTTATTTTTCCTTTATACAAAAAGTGTCAGTAATCTTATAAATCGTGGCCTACAAGTTGAGCCAATTGCTGTGTGGCTGACGATTACGTTACCAAGTCAAACAATTTTTGGCTGTTTTTCGCAAGACTGCCTGCTGCATGCAATGCAACACTAACCGACTCGCGTAATCACCGATATCCGTGCACATTTTTATTTGATAGAATGCAAAAATTTTCCAAGGGGTTGAAAAGGCTGCATTCACTTTCTAAATCGCCTGCGCAGGCAATGCATGGCAAGAAAATATGGAACCGGGAAAGTGTGGAATCGGGTTGAACATTCGCAAGACTGGATAAAGTTGAGAGCAGGAAAACAAGACTTGGAGTCAAGCGTGCTTGAACCATGAGCTAGGTCAATTACATTCAGTAATAAGCCCTGTAACTACACGAGGATAAGAAAGGCTTGATGTTCATACGCCCACATTACTATTTTATGACCGAGA